TAATATTTACAATACATTTTATGAACCAGTACTGAACTGTTTATTACTGGGAAGATAATATCACGACGTATTGGTTTGACGTCAGGAATTATGAAAAGTCTTGTGTACAATTTAGCAGTTGAATGCTTCATGCAAGCTAACATACATTTTAATCCAACCTACACAAACACTATTAATACTCGTACATTAAACCTTATGAACTTCCCTGCAGTTAAGTAAACACAAAGCTAAAAATTTTGCGTTTAAATTCTTTTATAAACACAAACAATTCCTTGAGCTGCAGTAGGCGTGTGCGAAGGTTGTTTCCCTCCCCCCTTTCTTCCCACTCTTCCTACCTAAAATCTTACCCCGCTAGATGTGGACCTCGCTCCCTCCAACCCAACATAAAGATAAGCCTCATTCATATTCCTGGGGAAAAAAATTCTATCCCTTCCTTCAGATATAAAAGCGGAGTTCTGGTGACAGTTGAGTCTACAGTTTGAGTGATGTCTGGTGCTTCAATGGAACTCTCCAATATTACAAATTAAAATGTTTTTGATGTTCCCTAAGGAGAAAAAGATATATACCTTAATCTACATGAAGTTCCTGGTGAAACAAAAACATTGCCTACGGCAAGAGAAATGCGGACAAAGGGAAGTTCACCAACAATAGCACAAAGCGGTAGCAATCATCCTAGTCTCTTCCTCTATCTCCCAAATGTACCACATTCTACCCAGGTGAATCAGCATTAATTACCAGCACCGCCGGACTCAAAGATTCTCATAACGTCTGCACCCCCCCCCCCTGCAACACAAATAATACAACACTGTTTTTTCTTTTAAAACCAAAAGTTCACAGAATCAACCGCCATAAACACGCGTCACCATATCCCCGTCTTCCTACAGATTACCGAATTCTCTCATTTCTAGGAGACGAAGCCTGTGCTGGTGGCCACGACTCAGGGCTTCTATTGATCGCATCTCAACTCCCTTGCTTTCCCGGTAACCACAGCTACATACAAAACTCTGCGGCCCGCATCCCCACGGGGGCTGCTGCTGAGCCTCCACCTCCTCCTGCTAATTTTGTGTATTTATTTATTTTTATATTCGGTCGTTATCCTTTACTCTACATTTTTTATGCAGGATTATGAATACCGGTTTTCTTTTATTTAGTCACGAGTTATTATTACCTGTGTTTGTGATTACCGAAGAGGCGTTTCTTTTCCTCCGTCATTTTCTCTAATGTTCGATACTTCAGTAAATGGTCCAGGGTCTGCTTCTGCTGTGAGCGATATACGTTGTTGTTGTTGTTATTGTTGTTGTTGTTGTGCCCCGGCTGCTACAGTTATTGCTGACACTATTACTGCTTCTGTTGCAGGTGTTGATATTATTGCATCTGCACTGTCTTGTTATAAAAGTGCTCTTGTTTCTCGTGTTGTTTGTATAACTCGTCTGCGATATTACCTTTTGGTTCGGGTTTCCTTGAATTATTATCATGGTCTACTTGCATCATTGACAATTAATTTCTCTGTTAGGCATTTCTTCCACAATGTATTTTCCATTACTTTCTTTCTTCGTTATGACTAATTTTCTCTTTATGGGTCAGTTCATATTTACCTCTCCTTCCCTTTGGTCACTGTTTTGGTTCACCCTGTTATACTCTGGTGTTGGTTGACGTGCTTCTGCCACTAGCTATTATACGTGGTGGTGGTGTTGACTCCTCTTCACGTTATCTACCACACACACACACACACACACACACACACACACACACACACACACACACACACACACACACACACACACACACACACACACACACACACATGTTCAGAACAACAAAGACAAACACAGAGAGAGAGAGAGAGAGATTCTAAAGCAAATTCATAGTTTAGATTACACAACACCTGACCGAGTTAACCATATTGTTGGATTAACTTTGGTGTGTTGTGGTCGTCATTACCAGCGCCGCCACGACTACTGTGTTGCCGCGTATAAAGGGCTGTCTGACGCTGCGTTTACCCCACACTTGGACTGTAATGAAGGTGCTTGTTTTTATTGGTTCTTTTATTGTAGTTGTTGCTTTTATTGTGGCGTTTGTTATTATTATGGTATTCGTTCACTTTTGTTTTGCCGCCACACTTACTGATGACTTTGATGTAGTGGTGGTGGTGTTAGGGTGGTGGTGTTGGGGTGGTGGTGTTGGGGTGGTGATGTGGTGGTGTTGTGGTGTTGTGGAGGTGTTGTTGTGGTGGTGTTGGGGTGGTGATGTGGTGGTGTTGTGGTGTTGTGGAGGTGTTGTTGTGGTGGTGTTGGGGTGGTGATGTGGTTGGTGTTGTGGTGTTGTGGAAGTTGTTGTGGTGGTGTTGGGTGGTGATGTGGTGGTGGTGCTGTGGTGGTGTTGTCGTGATGGTGGTGTTGTGGTGGTGATGTGGTGGTGGTGGTGTTGTGGTGGTGGTGTTGTGGAGGTGTTGTTGTGGTGGTGTTGGGGTGGTGGTGTTGTAATAAGGTTATTATCACCGTTTAGATGCCTTTTAATAGGTTTTGATGTGGAATTATGGGAATCTTTACTGATAAGTTACGTATAGCAAGATGGATTTAAAACAGTGTGGAGTAGTACACACACACACACACACACACACACACACACACACACACACACACACACACACACACACACACACATACACATATACACACACGGGCGCTGGGGAAAATCAGGAGATAAAAAAAGTTGACGGGAGGAGGCGGCCGGGGAGTGGCGAAGTAATAGCATGAGGCCACGGGAAGAAGAAGGTCTTTAACTTAGGGCCAACATTATTAGCCTATCAGCAGCAGCATAAGAGCCAACTTTTTTCCCCTCAGATGGGTGTCCCTTGGGTAATTAAAGGCATTAAGTCTAAGGTGGCTGCTTCACTGGCATCCCGGCGTCAAGACTTTCAAGTCCTCGCCTCCTCCTTGGCCTGTGATGATGAAGCTAATACTGCAGCAGCCGCCTCTCATGACCACAATATTATTCTCGTCTCAAAAAAAAAAGTACTTGTGGTGAAATTCGAGAGAAGACATTTGAATTTTGATATATAATACTACAGTAGGGGAAAAAAGTGTTTCTGAATAGTTTATAGGAAGGGATGCTGGATACAGTGGCCCTATTTCTATAGCGTTGACTTGGTGATTTTTTTTTATGCTTAGGGAGATGTAATCAGTAAGTGAGGCGACTCTGTGTGTGTGTGTCATTCGCTTAATTGTTTTCATAAATGTTCAGGTACAAAAAGAGAAAATAAACAAAGAAATAAAATACATATAAACGAAAAGACAATTTTACCTTTAGCGAAAAAAAATACTCATTTATGAAAAGCCTGAAGCGAGCAGCAGAAAACTCATAATGGTCCGTAAAAAAACTGGTGCGTCGTTGCTTCATAATTTCAATATTAATTCTGTCAGTCTTCGGTGGAAAGTTCACTCTTCAGAGCCGCCAACCAGACTACGAGGCAGTAGAGGTCGAGGCAGTAGAGGTCGAGGCAGTAGAGGACGAGGCAGTAGAGGACGAGGCAGTAGAGGGCGAGGCAGTAGAGGTCGAGGCAGTAGAGGACGAGGCAGTAGAGGGCGAGGCAGTAGAGGGCGAGGCAGTAGAGGACGAGGCAGTAGAGGGCGAGGCAGTAGAGAGCGAGGCAGTAGAGGTCAGAGTAGAGTAGGAGGCAGTAGCGAGGCAGTAGAGGACCGAGGGTATGAGGCAGTAGAGAGGCAGCAGTAGAGGTCAGGCAGTAGAGGACGAGGCAGTAGGTCAGTAGGCAGAGGCAGTGAGGGCAGGCAGTAGAGGGCGAGGCAGTAGAGGGCGAGGCAGTAGAGGACGAGGCAGTAGAGAGCGAGGCAGTAGAGGTCATAGTATTAATTCTTCTCGACAATATTATGCTGCAACGTAATTCATTCTAATATTTTTGTTGCACGCCGTCCACCATTGTCACCACATCCTCCACACAACACTCATGAACACCATTACCGTGTTATATCTACCATAATCTATTATTAACACAGTCATCATCACAGTTACCACTAGGACTCACAAAGATCTTTACTGCTCTGACTATGCCCTACGTTAACCAGCCTCACCACTACCAGGTCTACCAAGGATCTCATTATCTGTACCATGACAGTCATTTGCAGCAGCCTTAATACCAATCATTACTCATGTGTTAATTGCACGAGCAACGAAGCTGTGCAGCGTAATGGCCACTTTAGCATAAAATATCCATAAAAGTCTAAAACGCGTAATTTTAAACTTAAAACAAGTGCTACTTGAAAGATTCTATTTTATGTTACAAAGTTAATGATATTCAAGTGCAGCTCTATATTTTGTACACGAGTTTTTTTGTGCCTTGAAAAAAACTTGTAATAAAAGGTATCTAATTATATGTTGTTCAGTATAAGAAATATTGCTCCGGTTCTCTTTCTAAATTAATAAACTAAAAATCATCTGGAAACGCTGGAACCTCTAATTGAACTGTTGTATGAGTATAGAATTATTATTAATATTATCTAATAACGTACTGTACCTACTCACGGCGGCGAATTATAATTAAACCCGGAAAATGATAACCCTTGAGCCTGTGGTGAGAGAATATGACTCCACTTAGCACCGAGGCGCATCACTACACTGTGTGGACGAGGTTTCAGATGGCACGAAATACTGGCGGGAGTCTTCACACCGGTATGTTCAGTACGTTGTCTTGTGGAGGTCATTAGTAGTAGCTCTCGGGCGGCGGATGTAGTAGACATTTTCAAGATATCTTAGATCCGCATTTTAACGTACTCATGATTTGATGGTGTATGTGATGCGGATATATACACACGGTCAGTTGTATGTACAGGTTGTTTCTGTAACACAACACCGCTCTGAAGTGTAATGTCACTTGATTCTGGAGGAGTTTATTCCACCACAGCATAACCTCATTTATCACCTGAGGAGATTATCACCATCTTAGTCCACGTACACAACCTGTTCTAGATGATGACGTCACTTACCTATTACTGTGAGGTAGATCCTGGAATTACGTGTCGGAGATTTCTTGAAGTCGACCCGGCAGCGGTAGAGACCGTCATCAGAGCTCCACACCGTCTCCAGGTCAAGGCCTGATTTACCGAGGCTCATGTCAAACCTAGCTCGGTTCTTGAGCACGGAGAGCGGCTGGTGCTTAGGTTGAGGTATCCGGCGGCTTCGGAGGTCGACCCTGTAGAAGGAAGAGCAAGATGGTCAGTATATGTTATACAGTTCGTGGACGGTATTGTTATAATATCATAAACTCCTACTGTGTTTCCGCGGTGTAGAATCACAAATCATTTTATAAGAGTCACACATACTACATATGATTTTTATTTGTCCACAGCCATACATTGTTTTATTGAAATGTAATGGTATGAAAGGGTGTAATATTGGATGTGTTGATTTTGTTTAAATGTTATACTTGTGGTGAATCCCCATCCCCCCAACTCTTGAAGGACACTGACAGGTATTCATTATTCACTTGTGTACGGGATCCCCTCCGAGTTGAGTAAAATCGTCTGGCGTTAGTCAAATAACATATTAAAAGTGACGTCCCCGAAGTGAAGGGGTTAGGGGAGATAGTGTACTAATGGCTGTCTGTCAGTTTGTCCTTTGTCACACCTCACCCTTGTCTACTTCACATGTCTTATGGGCTCCTAACGCACCAACTACTTTTCTTACTTGATAAATTAAAAGTCCATTAGATTGATGCATCAGTCAGAATGTAGATGTTTGATTTGCACAAAGTTTGTTTTCAATCGAAGAAATTTTAATAATTCAGAAGTACCAAACAATGACTTACCTCACCAACCTCTCTCATGTGCACTTAAGGAAAGATAAAAAAAGCTCTTGTCTGTATTCAGAGAAACAGAAACCCTTGTCTCGGGGTTAAGTTGCAAACAGCGTCACTGCTTCTATTAAGTGAACATAATGTTGGCAATGCAAGTGGTTCAAGGTGGCAAGTGGTAACATTGCATCATCCTCCCACCTAAGCTCCACCACTTACCCTAAAATTAATTCGGAGGAGAAAATAGCTTCTGGAGTAAATAGTTTCATCAGTGTTAAATGCGGGTCTTGGCATTGGTTGACTTTGTGGTGACACTGGTGGTAATAGTCGACAGTTTGGTGGCAGTGGTTGACTCGCGTGTGTGTGTGAGTGTGTGTTTGTGTAGGAGTGGAGAAAGGAATGACGTAAACAATGCTTTTATTTACATAGCTATTGGAGTACTTACTAATTAATTGATGCATTTGATAATACTGTTTCTGGAGGTACCACTACCTGTGGGGGTAGTGACCACACGTCAATAAGGGTCAGTGATCCATGTACTGTTACCTTACTCCTTAGTCTCTGAACTCCATCCCTCAATAACATGAAAACTAGAGTCAAGAAACCCGATAAGAATTTCATGTCTGTCGAAAAAACAAATATTATGCTTCTAGTGATAGTCCTAGATATGTTCCCTCATCATCAACCAGAGAAAATGAGACGACATCAATAGGCCTGTCTAGAGAGGGTGGGATATAGAGGCAGTGTTCAAGATGACTTCCAAACCTTGTAAATTTGAAAATGGTCTTTGAGAAAACTCCTTGGCGGGAAGAGCGTAATGAGGACAATCTTATTAGTAGAATTTCTTGAGTTTTTAAATGATTAGGAGGTAAAAGTCTTCCTAATTATAGTATAATGGGTTTAGAGGTCTCAGAGTTTAAGTAAAAAGGAGAGTAAAGGGACATTAGGTTGCATGTGCTGTGTGACTGGTGATAAAAAACTGAGGTCTGGATTTTGTTTTGTTTTTGGGACGTGTGTGTGTGTGTGTGTGTGTGTGTGTGTGTGTGTGTGTGTGTGTGTGTGTGTGTGTGTGTGTGTGTGTGTGTGTGTGTGTGTGTGTGTGTGTGTGTGCCCTCATACATACATACAAACTAATAATATACATGGAATCACACTCATGTATATTAGCAACACACACACACAGACACACCTCACTACACTATAAATATGTCTTGCTTGTTAGGTCACTAATTAAAGTTCAAACAAGACCCGACATCATTATTCCGGCTTTTATCTCCTGAACGGGAAGTGAATGTTTCTTTCTCACTGTACATTATAAGTATAGACGTAATGGGCAATTAACCCAGATGAAGTAAACGTCTTTTTATGTATTTTATTTTACTTGTGTTTGGTGTTACTGGGGTTGACTCAATCTATGATAGACTAGTTCGTGGTATGATGGAGCTATGGTGAGGGAGAGAATTGATTGGTGTTAGGGGATGATGTGTTTGTGTGTTGGAGAGGGTCTGAAGTGCATGGGAACACTTGCTAGAGAGGTGTGACACGGCGTTGGCGACTATGATGTTGAGAGACTTTGTTATTTGGAGAATCGTATATGTGCAGAACTTGTGTACCGTAGAGGTTGAATATGCTGGTGAAGTTCTAATGCATATATGCCCTTGTCTGCTGGAAAAGTGTAGTGTGTTGGATAGACCTAAAATGCTGGAGAGTCGTCACGTGTTGGAGAATCTTTGATGTTGTGTAGGAGACCTTGTGGGCTTTGAGTGCATGGTGTGTTGGAGAGGTCTTTGATGTGCACGAGACCTGGTTGTTGGGGGAAGGGCCTGGTGTGTTGGAGAGGCTCTGATGTGCAGGAGACCCTGTGTGTTGGAGAGTCCTAGAGTGTGAAGGGTAACTGTGTAAGGATGGGCTTTTAATACGTGAATAGTGGCCGCCTGACATGTGTAGTGGCCTTACAGTGGTAGAGAGGCTCGTGTGTTTATCAAAGAGGACTTGCTGGGTACAGAGGAACGTGTGTGGCGATGAGGTTTTGGTGTGTGTGTGTGTGTGTGTGTGTGTGTGTGTGTGTGTGTGTGTGTGTGTGTGTGTGTGTGTGTGTGTGTGTGTGTGTGTGTGTGTGTGTGTGTGTGTGTGTGTGTGTGTGTGTGAACATTCCTAAAACACAAATAAGAGGAAAGACTTGTGTAGCGCTGTACAAGAAGGGAACCAGACCACCCTTGTATAATAGACGAAGGTGGGGAAGCGTTGATGTAATTAAGGGAGGAGTACTATTAGTATACAAGACGAGCCACGCATAACCAGCAGGGGGGGTAGCTGGTATAAACGGGGAAAGGTGAGATGGGAGAGGTACAATAACCCTTCATGAGGATGGAACTGATATTTTGATAATCCTTATTAGACAGTGATGGTCAAGGGGCGTTTGTAAGGATTGATAGATATAGGGGTTATGTTGTTACCGTCTTCCTCTTCCCAAACAAAATAGGGAGACGTAATTCCGGGTTCTGTTCTCATTGTGTCTATTAATATGTGGGTTTTTTTATTTATAACCGTGTCATTGTTTAATTATACTCTCATCTCTTTCCTTTTGTTCCTTTATCATAGATTTTTTTTTCCTATTTCAGCTCCTACGTAAATTTATGTCTCTTCTCATCCTCTGTCTCAATTCCGTTTCATTTCTTGCCATCTTCCTCTTACTCTCTTTCCTCTCCCCCTCCTCCCCTCAAACTCTCTCACCAATACACCTCTCACTCCTTACTAAAGCCTCTCACGGGGGCCCCCCCCTTCCTACCTTACCTCCTCACTTAAGCCTCACTTCCTATAACCTCCCTATATTTTAAGATAGCTACCAAGTTTATGGGACAAGAATCAACGGTATAAATCATATAATATCCCGTCATTACTTTCTTAACAGGATGGGGCGATAGATTTCTTTATTAAATATCGCAACAATAAACGACTTTTATTGACAACATGCATCAAGTTACCGTGAACAAAAAAGCTACTATAATTTATAAAGTTTGTATTTAGGTAAGGTTGAGTTTGTTCATATAATTAATCAGAATTCTATAATCATATTGATATACAGCCTTGGAATTGCGTGTGTGTGTGTGTGTGTGTGTGTGTGTGTGTGTGTGTGTGTGTGTGTGTGTGTGTAAAGATGAATGCCATAAATTCATAAGCTAAAAACATTTCCCAAGTTGGCTGGGCTACAATAGGCCTTTTGAGATGTTAAGAACGACGACCACAATAATAACTGGCGTCTATTATACTATTAACTACCAGATAAAAAGTAATACAGAGGCTAAAAAAATTCCAAAGTTGTCTGTCAACAGGCCAAGTACAACAAAGGAAAAACAAGCTTAAGATTTCTTTTGTCAAAATTCTTGGACGTTGTGATTCAAAAAACGTCTCAAATCAATCAGGAAATCGTTCGACATACAAATGGTTAAAGCTGTGAGATATGACTCTCTCTCCCAGCGGACGAGTTTGCTGCTACGTCTCAAGAATTTTAAAAGTTGATGTTTGAAGTTCCGCTTTCTATCGAACACAGTGATACCGAGTGTTGGAGTTACAGCTCTACGGATAAAACTCGTCGTCCAAGGAGATACAAAAAAAAAATACTTGTGAAGTTTCTTGAAGATACTACAATTTCACCATCCTACTCGAAAGTAGTTTACAACACTAATAATAATATTTATCTAAGGACGGGGAGCATGTATATATCAATTGGAACTTCATTTAAGGCATGAGGTATGAGAGGGAGAGAGAGCGGGGGCAATAAAAGATACCGCGGATTCTTACTGTCACAATCAGGATAATAAGCTTGGATAAAGTGGCCTCTAGGATTACTGGACACGAAGCTCGACCACTCTACCATCTGTATGTCCCCTCCTTGCCCTTCCCTTGTCCCATACGTTCCCATCATCATCTGCATGTCTCCTCCTTGCCCTTCCTATGTCCTCCCATCCATTCCCATCACCATCCTTCCTCCGCGTCACAACTCCACCTCTACCAACCCCAAACATTTTTCCAGACTCTCCATATTTTACTTTTATTCATGTTTCGATCTCTCTCTCTCTCTCTCTCTCTCTCTCTCTCTCTCTCTCTCTCTCTCTCTCTCTCTCTCTCTCTCTCTCTCTCTCTCTCTCTCTCTCTCTCTCTCGTTATATTTTTGTCACCTGCACTATATGTATTCTGCTCCCCCTTGAGGCTATATTCTGTCTCTAGGCTATAATATGCTTTCTTTCTATGCTATATTAAACTCCTTCCCTCAAGGCTATATTATACCATCTCTAGGTTATATATTTTCTTCCACTTTTGTTCCCTGCCAGTAATTATATTTTCTTCATTTCCATCTCGGATATCCCCGTCAGTGCCACCCCACCAGCAGCTTGACGCAG